CGAGGTAAACAGGGCTAAGTGACTTGCTCAGGGTCACACAGCTAGTGTCTGAGGCCATATTTTAACTTGGGTCTTTCTCACTCCAGGCCTGGCACTCTTAACTACTGTGCTCTCTAGCTACTCCAGAGCATTTTTACAATGCACAATAAAATATTGCAATGCACTAGATGGACAAGAGTATAGAGGTTTGGGAAACATTAACTTTCAGAATTTAGAACCTAGGCAACCTAGTCACTGCTTCTGATATTAATCATGGAAAGAAATCCTAGGGTCTCCTATTGATTCACTGTCCTGTAAGTCTTCATCCTATTCTCTATCTCATGGTGAGTAGGAAATGACCTGGCTTGGAATATCAGCTTTCTTGTGCCTCCCTTTTATCACCAATGAGGTGGCTGGGTCGGATGACCTATAAATTTACTCCCAGCTCTCGTTCTATTATTTCTTTTCTTGCCACTTGTCCAAAGTCCTAGTAAATTAGATGCAGAGGCCAGATTAAAATCCAAATCTCTGGACTCCTAACTCTATGTAAATCTCCTCCCTGGTAATCAACTTTTAATCTTCATGTTTCCAAATCTATTATTTAATCCTCCTAATACCTCTGTAGCCCAGATTCTGGAAGACTCATCTTTCTGAGTTCAAATTTGGCCTCAGGCACTTAGTAGCTGTGTGTCCCTCAGTTTCTTCATCTGTCAAATGAGCTGGAGAAGGAAATGGCAAACCACTCTAGTATCTTTGCCAAGAAAACTCCAAATGGGGTCACAGAGAATTGCACACAACTGAAACAACAACACCTCTGTGCAAGGCTGACACTTTTATCCTGAGAACGTGACTTGTACAAAGTCACATAGCTGCTCAGTGGCCGAACCAGTATGGGATCCCAGATCTTCACACACAACTCCTGTTTCTCTTATAAAAGGAGTTGTACTGGGCCATCCTTTACATTGCTCTTCTTTGGGGCAAGGTCATTGACTACATAAGCTGATGACCACATAGAGCAAATTGAAAATCCCCTTAGGGCTGCTTAGGAAGCAGCGGGAAGTACTGCTAGTCATCACAGGGGTTATCACCATTAGCGGCTTCCGTCTTCCATCTTCTCCCTTTCCCCATAAGAAATCTGACACAATGCCTCACTTGTGCTGCCTCAAAATGACCTAGTCACTATAAATTGGTGTGCTCTTTCAAACAGCTTTGGAAGCTCTCCAGGTCTGCTTTTCCAAGGGCGTGAAGATACTATCCACAAGCAATAACCTGCTGCTGCTGTCATTGTTGAACAGGCTAATTTGCTCAATTACATTCTTTGAAACCATCACGTCTTGTGAGGTAGATTATCATGGCAACATTAGAGGGATGGAAACCATGCATGTGGTTAAGTATAAACCACTAGCTGAAATACATTTGAGCACTGTGAAATGACAGGAAAGTACACATTGGAAATGAGGGTATCAAAGCTTCCTCCCCTAGTCCCCAACCCTCACAAACCACCATTCACCTAAAATACCAACTCTTTCCAGAAACTTTTTCAGTCTATTTAATGTCCTTCTCTGGCTCCTTCTTATATATGGAAATATGATTATTCCTTGCTGTTCTCCATTCCAAAATTGTGCCTGCCACTGGACTGTGTATGTTTTACTGTTCCAAGATTGGTTCAATGTTCTGCATCTTTTTGTCTATGACTTTTCATGTTTCTTAACAGTGATATCAGACTTAGGTCTAAGAATTTTCTTTTTAATCTTTCTTAGCTGGATGGCTGCACAAAAACAAAAGGCAAGTTGGCTTGGGTCCTTGGGCTGTTGTTTGCCCACAGGATTTAAAAAATAAAAGGGGGACTGTAGCAGTAAAATGATCTTCATGGCACTCGACAGCGGAAAGGCCACTGGTGTGTAATGCTGGGCAACTTAGAAAAGTGGTTCTTAGAAAGGGCAGTGCTTGAAAAACAGAGCTTAGAAGGCCATTTTTCCCTCTCTGGGCCTCAGTTACCTCTTCTATGAAATGACTGGGTTGGACTGGATGATCTCTAAGATATTTTCCAGATGGCCTATATTCACATGAACTCGATCAATTGACATGGACTTAGAATACATGTTTCTGAGCCTGTTTCCTCATCTGTTTAAAAAAATTAGGCATCTCTCCTATGGAGGCCTTGTGAAGAAGTACTTTGTAAATCTTAAATGGAAGTCAAAAGAAACAGTGGAAGTCATCAAGTCCACCTCTGACCTGAATGGGACTCTTCTCTAATGCATCCCTCACAAGGGGCTGTCCAGCTTCATAAGAAATTGACTTATTGGAAAGACAATACCATGTAGCAATAAGCACATAATACATTTCTGGTAATGATCTTGAAAACGTTTGAGGCAACAGAGAACATTCCCTACCCTTTCAGGGACCTGTGAGAGGAGGCTTCTTATAAAGTTTCTTCTTGAATTATCTGTAGACTCCTTAGACAAAACACCTGTGTGTTTCCATGAAGATTTTCCTTAAAAATTACACTAAATTGAAATCTGAACCTTTGTAAGTGTAGAAGATCCCTGAAAAATGCACAATCCAGTGTTCTGCGTCACACGGATGCCCCCCATTACAATACCAAGAGGTTCAGCTCTCCTTCCACCCAAAGTCCAGTCTTTATCCCTGGGAAGGAAGCTCCCTTTCCCAACGCAGAGCAACAACTCCTCTGGGAGCTCAGCATTTTAAGAGTCAAGGAGGTTCAATGACTCACCCAGAAACATACAGCCAGTGAGCATCAGTCAGAGTACCCTGACTCTGAGGCAGGATCTCTACCCACTAGGTACCTACCTCTCGATTTTCGTTTTTAAATAAGGAGCCAAGAAGGCCTCACGTGGTGTGGAAAGAACCGTGAACCAGGAACTGGGAGCCCTGGGTTCTAGTTCTGGTCCTGCTTCTAACCTGCTGGGTGATCTTGAGGAAGTTATTTCATCTCCTTGAGACAATATCCTCATCTAGAAAAAAGAGGTATTTCTCTTATGCTGTTAAAATTCTATTATCTTTGCTGTGGTTCAGTCATTCAGTCATGTTCAATTTGTTGTGAACCTATGGACCATAGCACACTGATACTGTCCGCGGAGTTTTCTTGGTAAAGGTACTGGAGTGGTATAGCATTTCCTTCTCCAGTGGATAAAGGCAAACAGAGGTTAAGCTCAGGGTCACACAGCTAGTAAATATTTGAGGCCAAATTTGAAGTCAGCTCCCCCTGACTCCTGTTTGGCTCAGTGTCCTCACCTATAAAATGAGCTAGTGATGGAAATGGTAAGCCAATCCAGTATCTTTGCCAAGAAAACACCAAACAGGGTCACAGAGTCAGACACAACTGAAGTTCCTGACTCCAGGCCCAACACTCTATCCACTGAACCACCTAATTGTCTCCAAGGCAACCAGAAGTTAAGAGACTTGCTCAGGGTACAGCTAGTAATGTCTGAGGCTAGACTTGAACTCAGGTCTTTCTGATTCCAGGCAGGGCGCTCTATCCACTGAGCTTTCTAGTTGCCTCTCTATTGTCTTACTATCATGTAATGCCAACTCACATCTAATGGATTTTATGTGTAAATATATACTATTTTCCAGATATATATTTATATATGTATTGTGTGCATATATGTAAATATATGCATACATACACACATGTATATGTGTATATCTACCTCCCCCCACATATTTCCCCAAAGGAAACTAAAGCAGCTGAACTTTAAGTTAAATCTCTCTCCTTAAAATGATTTTTACTTGTTCAAAACACCTAAGAATCTCTCATCATATACAGAAGCCTTTCAGGATGTCAGTAATGATACATACTATTCTTTCTAGTACTAAGTTTAACCAAAAGCCACAAACTTCCACTTTCTGTTTTCATAATGACCTGGACATGTCTGCCTACTGATGACTTAGGCAGAGATTCTAAAATCTTTAAACCTCTACTTTCAGGCACAACAGCTTCATCATTAATTGCTAGGAGGGGAGGGAGCAGCTCATCAGGGCCAGCTTGGGTAGCTGACAGGTGTCAGTTTAGAGTGACATTGGACTCTCCACAATCAGGGTGGTGCCAGAAGTAATTGTAACGTTCTCATAACCCTCAGAGACCTTCAAGATGGATATCTTGAAATGATGGATTAATAATTTCAATGATCTGGGGGTAGGGAGAAGCACTATGATAAATACATCACCCTATCATTTTATATGTGTCAGGCTATGACCTAAATCAAACCTTGGGCCATTCTTACACATATAAAATGTGTAAGGCGAAATTTTCTGGAAGCAAAGTCTTTTGGTGAAAAGAGACTTCATGGTTTTTAGCTTTACTCCTTGCCCCTTCTTTTTCTTTTTTGTTTCTTGGCTGTGGGATTCCATTTTTTTTTTTTTTACAACTTGAAAACTATTTAAAAAAATTAACTACACTGCCCAAGAGACTCATGGCTGAGAGGTTTGGGTAATAGGATTTCAAACCTTTCTCCTTTAGTCATGGCACAAATCTAGCCTAGGCTGGAACTGAAAACTGTGACAATCTGATAAGCTGTGTTTCACATAAATTGAGTTGGATGGATATCCATGTGACATTAAATAGACTTGAGAGGAGTCTAGGCACTGAGCTGCCTGGGAACACATGCTCTCCCTCAGCCTGTGGAGCATTCTTGGTAGGTCAGGATCTGAAAACTCTGAGCAGGCACAGGGAGAAAGTTGGGCTCAGACTGCTGACATTACATCACTTTAGAGAATTTAGACAGGAGTTCATACCATGATGCTATTAACCCTATCTCTTGTGAGCATTCGAATCATGAAAAAAACCCTCATTCTCCTTTCTTGTCACATTTCTCTATTAAATAATTTCAAATCCCATCTATAATTGCCCATTCTGTGTAACTTTCTTGTCCACGACAAGAACTCAAGACTCATTAGCTCTCAGTTCTGCAGTTCTTACAGACTTTTCTCCCTTAAAAAGCATAGCTGTCCTTCCACGTAATGATGGAAACTTCCCTAGCTTAGATGTGGCTCGATAAACTTTTGTTCTTTTTTGTTATTTGTTTTTATTTAAAAGAATTTGTTTCCCTATCATAAAAATTAGACAACCACACCACCACCAGCAGCAGCAGCAGAGTCTGTGGAGTTACGTTGATGGTGGAGAGCTCACTGGGTGTTCCCAGTGTCTCAGAGGTCCTAAAGAGTCCGTAGATGGGGAAAAGGGATGAAAAAAAAGGGAGAAAAAGTTGAAAACAAACAAAAAAAAGCCCCATGATGATTTCAGGGAGGGACATCATTTGAAGGTTTCCTTTCTTCTCTCGTGGTGAACTGCAGATATGTTTCAGCAGGACCCAGTCAATCTTTTCTTGAGGGATGATCCTTCATACCAGCTCGAGCACCTAATTTAAAAAAAAAAGAGCAGAATAGACAAATGCCATTTAAAGATGTAGCTGGCATAAAACTGTAAACAAGAATACCCCAACAAGACCCACTAAACCTTTTGTCCATGTCTCTAAGAATAGCCAAAGGGCACAACAGTTAGAGGGCTGGATGTGGAGTCAGAAAGCCTTGAGTTTGGATCCTGCCACAGACAATGAGATGCCATATGACCAAGGGCAAGTCACTTAATTATAGTACCTGCCTCACAGGGTCATTGTATTGAATGAAATAATGAATATAAAGTGCTTTACAAACCTTAAAGTATTATATAAAATGTTCATCGTTATCATCATCACCATCATCATCATCATCATCATCATCATCATCATCGGCTACTTTGAAAATACCACATATTTTGAAGGGATTTATCACTTGTTTTTTCTTTTTTAAGACACAATGTGTTATGTTGGGGGCTATAGATTCTAAAATGATACAAGTCATTATCAGAAACTATAAGTTCATTTCAAGATGTTCTATAAAAACTGGTGAATACATACTGAATGTTTGTGAATGGCAAGTCAATTTCTTTTTTTAAATGCATTCTTTCAAATTAGTTTATTGCCATAGTTAGCTAAAGAGCCTGGAAAGTAAAGTACAACAAGTACCAGGGAGTCAGTCAATAAGTATTTATTAAGTACCTACTGTGTGCTGGGCACTGGGGATACAAAAAGATAGTCCCTGCCCTGAGAAGTTCAGAGTCTAATGGGTGGGACAACATGTAAAAGAGTAGGTACAAATGGAGTGAACCTACTGATGCTCAGCAATTATGAAAACATTTTCAGGTATTCAGCAGGTAGAATGGATCCTATATGGGGGCTTTACATATTTATATGTAAAAGAGATTTGCGTATTTATATAATAATAATAATAGTAAAAATAATAACTAGTATGTATATATATAGTTTTGTCATTTGGTACGACCACACCAAAGGTGAGATCTTCAGTATGTGTCCATCTATCACCCAATCTTTCTGCTAGGAAATGGGCTCAGAAGGAGACAATGGCTCATTAGGAAGTGGAAGCCCTGGGAGGGTAAGCCAGTTCTGACTCCAAGATCAGAGCTCTTTCTACTGTACCATGTTGTTTCTCATGAAATGTGCACCAGTCCTCTAGATGCACAGAAGATACATCAGAGTATCTGAGTATACGTTACTAGTATTTACCTGCTACTTGAGTTTGTTCAATAAAAATAAGGACCATAGGCATTGTCATTTGGGATTTTGTAAGTTATTTCTTTCATTGTTTACTCAGTGAAATGATCAAATATTAAGACAGTTAAATCTGCCTCATTTTATTTAGCCCTCTCTTGATGAAAGATTCACTTTCTATTCATCACTATTACCACAATCCTGCATTAATCTCTTCATTTCAGCATCAAAGGTGTAACTTATCATGAAGAAGCTATGAAAATGCTATTCTCTGAAATCAATCAAGATCAATAGGCAAGAACAATCAGACAAAAACAGCAGACCTAGTTTGGAATGGAAATAAGAGCACAAGAGACTGGCAAAATTGTGATTTTAAAAAGTTAACTGACATTCCAATTCCAGGTGCCAAAGATTTAACTGTTTAATCTTTTCCTTTAGCTTTTCTGGTGTTTGATTTGCCCAAGAGCCTTCATAATACTTTTGGTATTACTTTATATTTGGTTAAGCAAACTAATGAACATAAAAGGCCAAAGCTGCTGAGCAGATTCTAGGTATCATCAGCGGGACTTTGTTCACACATTATGTAGTTCTGAGGGCCAGCAGGTGTAGCAGTTTTCAAGGTCAACAATTTCAACAGCTTCAAAGACAAATTTAATTTGTAGGAGAAGAACAAGATACAGCTTCCTCAGTAGCAGTAGGAAGACAAGGGAGAACTGAAAAATGAGATGCTAAGAACCTCCTCTACCTGTTGGAGTGTAACAAATGTTGATCATTTAAGTAACCTGGCTTTTGTTTAAGCTACTTGCCATTCTCTAATTAGATTTTCAAGCCAATGGAGCAGTAGTTAGCTGAGTACAGGAGTACTTAAGATAAATTAATTCAGGTAGCTGGCACTCTGACTCCCCTGCTTCCTGAGAATTTACTCATTGGCTTCCTGTTGTATGGATGAATTTGGTTTGGAGTTGGTCTAGGGATCCCTAGGTCAACATTCTCTTCTCATTAACAAGCAACAGATGTGTTGGTCTTTGGGAAGGACATCTATGGAAAACACGAGCACTGAATGCCAAGTGACAGAAGATTAGGTGTATGAATAAAAACAGCCACCTCTGTCTGCTTCCACATAAGCAGAAACTACATGAAAGAGTAACTTGGAAATAAGGGAAGCTGAAGTGCTAGGTACATTCAATTGTGATTAAAAAAAATTCAGAAACAGTATTCTGCAGGAATCTCATTGTTTACATCTGGATTTCTAATTCCAATCAATTATGGTCAATTTCCTTCGAGGAAGAACTACAGTTAACCAGTGTCATGAATAAACAAAAAATATTTTCTTAGGCTTACAGTCACAGAATTAAGAGTGTGAAAAACGCTGTGTCAGTAATTAAAACAATGGAACGTGTGTGTGGGGAGGGGTATTAAGGAATGCTGAGGGACATTTAAGTTTTTGATTCCCAATGACAGTCACTATGATGACTAAATGGCTCTTGTGGCAACAGAGGTATGGAAATGGGAAAAGAGGGAAAATTCACAAAGGAAAAAAAAGAATAAAAGAACAGCACAGCATGATTAGCCTCTAGGAAAAGTCTATTTCCTAATATACGTTGGGCAATACTACAAAAGCAGTTCTACAGGAATTCTGTTGACAGTGCCAGTGTCTTCTCCAAGGCTGAAAATTAATCGATTCCCTCTTGCTTCCCACCATCGCCCTCCAAGCTTGTGTTAGAGGCGTAGCCATCATTTAAATTACAAGTGTACAAGTGTCGGGGTTGGTCTTCCCTAATGGCTTATTCAAAGTGTATAAATTTCTATGACCTTTTTTTAACATTCTAAAAAGGTATCCATGGTTGTGGTTTTTGGGTTGTTTTTTTTTTTGCTTTTTGGTGTGCCAATTGGGGTTCAGTGACTTGCTCAGGGTCACACAGTTAGTAAGTGTCAAGTGTCTCAGGCTGGGGGATCCATGTTTAAAATGGTGATGCAATAAGAAAAAAAAAACCTTACCTTAATTGTCCCCTGACTGTTAGCAGCAATCAGCACGTTGGACTCCTAGAAAAGAAAACGAACCTTTAGTGTCTGACTGGACTACTTTGTTAGAAGGTACTAAAACTTTCAGGATATTTGAATTAAATTGAAGTGGAAAAAGATCTGGTGACTAACTAACTACCATGAACAAGCTACTGTCTTTTGACAACTCTGGGACTATATTAGGTGTCACTTATTAGAAGACTGTCTACAATTATAAATACTTCAAAGAGAGGCAGATAAATACTTGACAAAAACAAAACAACTGCTGGATTCCCTTGATACCCTGGGGGTTCACATACAGATGGCAGGATGTCCTTCATCTTTGCACCTGCAGCTCTGTCTGGTTTCAACTCTAAGGCACAAGATGCCTCTCTCCAGCCTGCTTTCTAGTCTCCTTTTATGTGGTGTCTTCATCCACTAGATTGTAAGCTCCTTGAGGTCAGGGACTGCCTTTCTTTTTAGCATCCCCAGTACTTAGCACAGAGCTTGGCACATACTAGGCACTTGGTAAATGTTTACTGAATTAAAAATTGACAAAGAATGATATAAAATCAAATTTTTTTCTAAGAGTCTTCTCTCAAGCACTTAATTGAACAGAATTAAACTACTTTTCAGAAATATTTCTAGCCATCCTAGCTATAAGGAGATACATGTGTCTGAATATATCTCCTTATATCTAATGTAGAAATAAAATGAGATTTTTAAAAAACTTCTTACAGAGGGCTAGAGATGATGAGTGCAAGGTTATCACTGTTGGATTTGGATGATTCTGTTTGCATTGTGCATGCCTGGTAATCTCAGATGCTGGTGTAGTCTGATAGGGTACCGTTTTCAAAAAGCTCTCTCTCAGGAAGTTACTCTAACTGCTAAATAATACGAAAATACCAGCAGGTAATTCTTGCTTGTCACTTTCCTTTCTGGGGAACCTGTTGTTTTCCAGCAATACTCCTAGGGACGCTAAACTAAAGGGGTTAGTTGCTTTTATCTTCGATATGAAGAGAAAATAGGAAAAGACAACTTGAAAATTATCATAAAGTTTGTTACTAAACGAGAGAGAGAACACAAGTAGGATGTATACACATACACAAAGTGGATAATTTGTCTGAAAAGTCAATAACGTTATATTTGCTTATACTGTAACAAAACTCATGTGACCCCTAGAAGAATATGAACATAAATATACATTGGATAATCCATTAAACAACTATTAAATCTCAGATATTAAAATCCAAAGGAGGCTATGAAATAAAAACTATTCTCACTGTATGTATTATTTGTTTCTAGTGACATATATATGCACAATTGTACCTAAAAATCAATCTAACTTTAATGCTGATTGTAAAGCCTACAAAAATAAGCCAAAAAAAAAAGTATGCTGTAAGTCATTCAAGTTCCAGGATGGATTTCACTGCTTATCAAAAGAATGATTTAAATATTCTATGACTTGTTAACATGGTGTATACATAGCTTAAAAAAAAAAACCCAGTTACACATTCACCAAAAGGAAAGAATAAATATTTCTGTTACTCGCCTCAGATGAGCTATATTAACAAAATGGTTACTTATTTCTAATTTTTGTTGGGAGAAATAAACTACTATTCAGTGGTGTTAAAATGTTGTCTCTGTACCATTTCTCCCCCCTCTCCAAATGTCATCCTTTCAAAAGGTAGTACTCATAAAAAACAAAGGACCTCATCTTGATAATGGTACTAGGGAAAACTGCTTCCCTTTCATAAGGGCCTGCTAGTCTTTTGGGCCACCACCAATAATATTCAGCATATTAGAAAAAATTTAATAAATAGTCTCTGTTATTAAGCAGGAAAAATATCTTCAAAAAGTGTGCTACTACCATCAGACTCCCTATTTCTTCACACTGGGTAACAAAATACAGATTGTTGTTGTGCCATGTTGATCCTAAGGGATTCTTTCAAAATCATTTGTAATTATATTCAAGTATGCTAGTTCAAGGGGAAACATTTATAAACTTCAGGAATATTAAGAGTGCAAAAGATGATGGTGGGAGAGTGCTCTTTTGCCACTAAAGATAAAAGAATAAGTGGATCTAAAATCTAAACTGTAACACACAAGAATTCTATTAGATGACTAGAACAATTTTCTCAAAGTGACGTGTTTCATTTCAAAAGGGTAATAAACATTTCTTCTTGGGAGAACTTAACACAAGTCCCTTTAAATCAGTGAGTATGTGTTAAGTATTTACAATATTTACTGGCTGAGAGAACTCTACAGAAGTCAGTTAACAAGCCATATATTAAGAGCTCACTATGTGCCAGGCACTGAAGAGCTAGGGATACAAAGGAAGGCAAAAACGCAGTTCCTGTTCCCAGGATCTCTTTTATATGGGGGAGACAACTATGCTGCCAAGACAGCCACTGTAAACAGGAGGTGATCTCAGAGGAAAGACGCTGGCAGTGAGGGGAGACTAGGAAAGGTGTGCTGCAGGGTTTGCACTGAAGGAAGCTGTGGCTGGAAGTGAAGAAGGAAAACACTGGGGGGAAGGGGAGCATAAGGGGTGGTCAATGAAAAGGCTCCAAGTCAGGAGATTGAAGTGTCATTTGATTATGGTAGATGTGAAAAAGAGTAAAGTGTAAGAGTGGAAAGAAAGGATGGAAGAGGACAGGTTGTGAAGGGCTGCTCTCATTTACCTCATTGCGGTGGAATGAGGTATTCCACTTCATTTTTCCAAATAACTGCTGTGAGCTCTTGTTTTTACATTAAATATTTTCAATAAAATCTTGGTAAATGTAATATATATTTCCTTGATTTCTTTAACAGTATCCTATACCTGATTTAACCTGTTCTTGACAGTTCTGGGTCCTAACTTCGAAGATCAAATATTGTATTATGCTATGATACTCAGCGATCAGTGAGGACTCGCTCTCTAGTGTATGATTCTACAATATTCTGTCTCTTTTCTCACAGTCTCTGCCCTTATATTTGAGGACATCTACATAAATGTCAATGTAACCTAAAATATCCTAGTTTGTATTATCTCTGGTGCTTAGCACAGTGCCTGACATACAACAAGAATTTAATAAATGCTCCCTCTATTTATTATCGCTGTATCTATATTCTAACTAAGCATCAATATATCTACCCTACCACCTACTTAACTACCCAGGTACCCAGTCACTATGCTACTCAAACATCCTCAGTAACTCCCTATTACCTCTAGGATAATATACAGATCTCTCAATCTTGGCATTCAAAGCCCTCCATAATTTAACTCTTACCCACCCTTCCAATTTTATTTCCTAATACTCCCATTTCCCACTGTCTACTCCAGTCAGGTCTGGTAGCAGTTCCCCACACATGACTGTCCCTTTCCTGCTTCTGCTTCTTTGTCCAGGCTGCCCCCACCTTTGGGAATGTACTCCTCACTTCTGCCCTCAGAGAATCCCTACCTTACTTCAAAGCACAGTTCAGAGCCACCTCCAGATCAAGTCTTTCCTGATTCTCCCAGTCACTGGCATTCTCTCCCCAGGGCTTACTTTGTATTACTTCTTTTCCCAACCCCTCTGAATTCCAAAGCCTTCCCTCTCTTAATTGTTTCCCATTTATCCTGTATATAGTTTGTTTGTACTTACTTGTTTGCCTGTTGTCCCCTCATTAGACTGTGAACTCCTTAAGGGCAGGGCCTGTTTTTTGCCTCTTTCTGTATCTCCAGTGCTTAGCAAGATGCCGGGCACAGAGTAGGGGCTTAATGAATGTTTACTGACTGAGGTAAAGGAAAAGAGAGTTGGACTATCCTACTGTCCTCACTGAGTACAGGTAAACAGACGTGGACAAACTGGTGAATGTGACTGCTGAGGCAGTATGAATGATCTTTGAAAGATCATGGATGATGGGAGAGGGTTAACAGTACTGAAGACATATATAAATTACAATTTTAAAAAACTGAGATAAATCGGAATCCAAAAACAATTGGCCAATGAGACTGACTTTGGAAAGTTTCTCTCTGGAAAAATTCTAGAACATATTATTAGAAAGATGGCTTGTGAAGATATAGAAAAGGAAGTGATTACTAAGAACTAGCATGATTTCATCAAAAACAGAATATGCTGTACTAAATGTCCTTTTTTGGACATGTTTACTCAATCAGCAGGTTAGGGGAAAGCTGTAGATGTGGCTTAACTAAATTTCAGCAAAGTATGACATTGTCTCTCATAACATCCCAGAAGATAAAACAATGAGATTTGCATTAGGTAAGACTATAATTAGAGGGACTAAGAACCTGCTGAATGACTGAACCTCAAGGATAGTCCTTAATAAGTTAATGTCAAGTTGACAGAAAGTCTCTAGTGGAGTGTCCCATGGACTGTTTTTTGCTCTGTGCTTTTTGACATTTTTTATTAGTGACTTGGATGAAGGTGGCATGCCTATCAAAATTGAGATGGCACAAAGCTAAGAGGAATAACATGACAGATGACTAAGAATTCAGAAAGACTCCGATAGGCTGAAAATAATGAAGAAAATTTGAGAGGGATAAGGTTTTTTTTTAAACGATTAATAAACCAACTTTACAAGTATAAGATGGAAGAGGCATTACTAGATAGCAGTTTAGATGAAAAGGTTTCAGTGTCTTAAAAATTTGACCTTCCAGCTCCCCCAAACTAAAGTGAGATCTCCTTTTAGTGAGATTTCTTGGAGGGTGTTGTAGAGGGGAACCTTGGGCACACTTGGGTTGGGTTGCATTGATCTAGATGGCTTCCAGGGAGAGTCAACACCGTAGTGGAAAAAGATTTGGAGTCAGAGGTTCTGAGTTCAAATCCTGGCTCCATATTTCACTACTTTTGTAACAAGTCACACTTTTTTAGATCTATATTCATTTATAAAATAGGAGAGTTAGACTATGATCCTTCCAAACTTGAAGAATCTATGACTTGGTGATTCTGTGACTACCTAAAGGAAGAATTTTCCAGGTAGGTGGATCATCATACAGAATGGAAAACAAAGAAAAACATAAGCTCTACTTAGAGGCTCAAATTTTTTCAAGCTGAATT